CAGCAGATCAAAGGTCTCAGTGTTTCTCCTACATTCTGATAAGAGGCTCATCTTCTGGCTACGATTCCTTTTCTCTGGTTTACAGTCATTCTGTTGGAGTTTCAAGACGTTTTGGACGTTTTAAATTGTTCAGGACCAGTTCTGAGTGATTTGAAGTGTTTTTCTACAAGTTCTGGATTGTTCTGGACAGATTTTGAGGCATTTAGGACGAGTTTTGAGGCGTATCAGGTCATTCTAGAGAAGCTTCAAGACATTTTGGACGAGTTTACAAATGTTCAGGACAGTGTTTGAGTCTCTCTTTTTTTTGTAATTATGTACAAAATGGGTTTCAAGACATTTGGGATCATTTTCATGCCTTTCATCCAAAATGTCTTCAAACTTCTCTAAAATGACCCAATGTGCCTCAAAACTCGTCCCAAATGACACAAAATGTGTCCAGAATGACAAAAACGTCCCCAAAAGGCCTCAAAATCTGTCCAGAACAATTCAGAACTTACCGATAAACACATTAAAGTCATTTGGGTCAAGTTTCAAGACATTCTGGATAATTTTAAATTAAAACACAAACTGTTAAAGAGCAGTTTGGACCTTCTGCTGTTAAGCAGCTGTATAAAAGGCAGAACTTGCTAGAACTTGTTGGAAAACACAGATTTTTTTTTTTTTGTAATTCGTGATGAACCCCGTCAGGACAGAACTGGCGCTACATCCGCCCTGAACAGGAAGTGACGGTCTTACGTCGGTCTGGACGATCATCCAGGCGTTGGTCAGTCCAACATTGCCGTCGGTGCCGAACAGCTGCAGGCCTTTCTTCAGGTCCGTCTGAGCGTACTGGTCGATCTGAGGAGACACGGAAACGCCGGAGTCAGAAACAAACAGGACTCGACAGACCTCCTGTCTGGCCCGCTGGACCGAGACCGGCTCAGATGCTGGAGCTGCTGGTTCTGGTTCACTGAGAACAAACTCCACAATCGGATGCCTGGTTTCTTAGAACAACTTCTATGTTCAGCTGATTTTAATGCCGTAAAGTTCTGTAGTTTTACAGTCTTGTGTCATCAAAGAACAAACCATTGACGTTATTTACAGCTCCGCTCTGATTCCTTTTGTTTTTTACAGTTAACAAGTTCAGATTCAGATTCAGATTCAGATTCAGATTCAGAGGCTTTGTTGTCATTTGAACCAAACACAGCTGGACAGAAGCTACACGGTGACATGAGCCAGCGTTCCCAGATCCAGAACTAAAGTCTGAGTGCAAAGAATGCAACAAGATGAGATGAAATCAAACAAGACAAGAAATAGAATAAAATAAAAACAGAACAGAAACATGGAAACAGGAAGTGCAATAGAAAAAACAGGAAGTGCAAACATGTACCAGACAGAGAGTGTGTGTGTGTGTGTGTGTGTGTGTGTGTGTTGGTCCAGTCCTGGGTGTCCAGAGTGTGTGTGAAGGTGTGTGTGTGTGTGGGTGTGTTGGTCCAGTCCTGGGTGTCCAGAGTGTGTGTAAAGGTGTGTGTGGTTCTTCAGCATGCTGGTTCTTGTGGGTGTAGACGTCCTTGATGGGACCAAATTTCTTCCAGGAATCACTTTTAAATGCAAATACAACGTTTAAATAATGTAGAGCTGCAGCCTTCCTCTGTTCAGGGCGACGCGGTGCGACGCTGAGCAGGATGAGCGAGCGTTGCATCACCGCGGAGCTTTAATTTGGTCAGAATTGACCTTAAAGCGAGTTTCTGCAGCGTTTAGGAGGAACGTCGGTGGACGGAGGAGGAGGAACGTCGGTGGACGGAGGAGGAGGAACGTCTGGTCATTAGCAATGATGAAAGAAGCTTTAAGGTCCGAGTGGAGCTTCGTTAATCATCCGTTTGATCTCCAACTCCAATCACGGGTTCATTAGTTAACGAAGCAGAAACAATCAGTAAAATTATGGTCCAATAAGTTATTATTTAACATATTTCATCCTGAATGTACCTAAATAAGAACAGCCGTTTACAGCTAAGCTTCATAAATCAATAACAATAAAGATTATTACCGGTAAAAATACAGATGGACTTTTTTACATTTAATTTTATTTTTTTACAATTAACTTGATTTTGTTTCTGTCATTTTATTTTATTTTTTTNATTAAAGTGATCAATCTGGACCCTCCTCTGTGGACTTCAAGGACCTGGACCTCTGGAACATTCACAGTCTGAAGGTAGAACTCTGGTCAGTAGATGAAGGTTCTGCAGATACAGAACGAGCTGGTTCTGAGGAGGTCCGGTAGACTTTTTTCCCACTGACATAGTTCCAGAAGTGTCCATTAACACTGGTGGCGGTGAAGCGAGCTTCAGGGATGTTTCTGGCAGTAGTTTTATCCGTTCGGTGACTCAGCTTCGGCGTGGAGTGACAGAATGAGAGCTGCCTTTCAGGTCGGCCTTCATCGCAGCCAGACTCCGTGGAGCCCAAACACTCGCACGCTGATCCCACAAAACCTGCACATTCATGCGCGTACGATTTCAAACGGCGGTGTCATTCTGCAGCGGCGGCGGGACGAGAGAATTAAAACCCTGGCACACAGAGACACACCTGCATTTGCATCACATTAGCATAGCAATAGATTTCCCTGTCATCATTTATTCCCCGTTCGCCTTCCAGACGCATGCACGCAAACATTCTGCACATCTGCTGATGGAACAGAACTACAAGCACCGACGGCGGTTCTGGATGTAAAAATAAAATAAAATAAAAGGTCCAGAGAGCCCCGAAGCCTCCCATCCATCACCAGGCGTCTCCCGGAGGCGGCGTCCATCCTCCGCAGGCCTCAGGTCCACATCCCTGCTCCTCATGTTGTGTGTTCAAAAAAATAAAAATAAAATCAAATATATAAATAATAGAAAAGGGAAAAGGCACATCAAAGTGAGAGCTGGAAACAAAGATTAGCTCCCAGAGCCTGTGATGTCTGCATTCATCTCTCTGACAGCGTTTTAGCAGAAAAGCTCCCGGTGACGTTTTTATTTTTTTACTTTTATTATCTGCCTGCTTGTAAATGTCCAGATCCTGTTAATGACACAAAAAAAACCAGGATCGAGGTGTTTTATTCAGTTTTTGTTAAACACCAAATGTAAAAGCGAGCGGCTTCTCCTCCGTCTGACTGCTCACTCATAATTTAACGTGATCACAGCGCTACAGAAGTACAGTCGAGTCTTGCCAATAGCGGAGCTGTCACCATGAATAATGCACCGAGAACCTCGTGTATCGCAGCTCGCGACAAGGTGTCTGCAAGGCCCGCCTCGCCCAACCGGGCCGGGCTTAATATTGAATGTGCTGCGATGTTCAGAGTTTTCTAAAGCGGCGTGACCTCAGCAGGCTGAGCAGAACCTT